AGGAGGGGGGGAAGTACTACCAGCTTCTGAATAATTTATGCGTACTCTCCTTAGTAAGCAATAGCCAACACGATTTTGTTACATCGACAAAAGCTTGCATCTTGATTGTTTTCCTTTTCTGCATTATATTATTTCAGGCTGACTTCACTCCGCTCATCTTCGCTTCTTACCATGGCAACTGTTCACTTGTTCGCACCCTCCTCGAAATGGGCGCTGACATAAACGCTGTGGATAAGGTAGGTTCTGGATCGAGCATGCTACTGAAATGCCCTTCAGCGACTTCTGCAATCAGAATCTTCCCCCAATTTGATTTCTACACTTTTTGTCTTTTCGCTAACAAAAGACTTTCTGATTGCTTAAAATGAGTATACTGTCTGCGTGAAAGAACTTAAATAGGATTTTTAATTCTATCTAGTTTCCATAGGAAATGCTATTCGGTTAATTTTTAAAATTGCACTGTCTACTAGATCACCCTCAGCTTTGCATGGGGCTCTCAATTCGTTTGAAGGTAGTCTCTTGACCTAGGCCGTTTCAACGCAAGTGTCTTGAAATTGGTTTAATCTAGTTTCAAACCATTTATTTACAACTCATTGAGTCGAAATCAGGAGGAAATGTTGCTAATCCAAAGCGTAAGTAGCACGCTTTTTAGTTTGGGCAAATCAATTTTTCTTCTTTTAATTTATACGTAAAGCTACCATTTTCACGTCTACCTTCTGTCGGTGGTTTGCGCAGGTTTTCTATCTCACGAGTAGAGCTATAACAGCCGTTTTATTTCAAACTAATTTCCCTATCACCACTTTGTATATCTTTAGTCAAGTTATTTTGAATTTCCTTTTCTGAGCGATTACTTTTTATTTCAATTTCACGGCTTCCACATCCCCTTGGACACACACGAACACAAAGAAAATATTAACGCTTTTGATACCAGGGTCACATATGTGTTACTGCGTTGCAAACATATGGCATGTATTCCTTACCGGTTTGTGGTGCTTACGTTCCCACCAATTCATGTGTCTCAATCAAATAAACAGTGAAATGGATGATGTATCATGTTTTTTTTGTTTGAGAAGGATGTTTACATCTTTCTTCAGTTTTTAAGCAGCAGTGAAGGTGGTCACAAAAGGTAACAGCAATTGATGCCGTTGCCATGACCCTAGAACCTTGCTTCCAGTGACTGATGTTTCTATGAGATCCTGATGACCAGTATTTTAATCAAACTCAATTGAAATTCACTTTTCCGAAATCAGAATCGAGCTTTTGTGTTAGCTCATGATACTTATCTTCGCTTCATTCATCTGCTATTCTGCTTTGAAGCCAGCTATCTTTCTAATCCTGTACCACGAACGTCCTTAACATGTTATCTTTTTTAACGTCGTTCCGTTTGATGGGTTCAACACGTAGCTTCAGGCATTGTTGTGTCTTCAGTATTTCGTATGATATAGTAATTTAGAGCAGTTATACTTGGAGAACCTCTGATGTACTGGTAGCTGTTCACAGAAGAAATGAACCTAACGCATTATATTCGATGCAAAACTGAAGTACCTTGTTAGGCCATGCGAGGTCTCTTCATATAACAAATTATATTGATAGGAATATTTGCCACGGAACGGACTATTGTAAGTTTTGCCAGGGTTTTTTGTGCAATTTTCACGTGTTTCTCCGCTCAGACTATCTTTTTTTTTAAATATTTTAGCCAGTGTCAGACAATTTGACAATTGGTTGCTAGTAGCCTGTATTGTTTTATGTAACACTAGAATTAATGGACGAAGAAACATGACAATCATTATCTGCCATATTTCTTTTTGTGTCGCGAAATCGTTATCAACTTAAAGCATTTGGTACTCTTAGATGTTATGTACTTGTTGAAAAATTGATTGGCTGACGATACCAAATAAAAAATTGAATGAGTCTTGGTCAAACCTGTGAGACTCAAACCTTAAGCTAGGCTTGCCCACACTATCCATAAAAGCCCAACATCAAAGTGAAAAGGTGGGCTCCGTAGGATCTCTCGCGAAACGGCTTCCAAACGCCACTGGTTGCTTGTCGTGGCTAGAAAAGAAGGCATGCGATGTGGTATGCAAAAGTGGACTTCTGCTGCTTACTGATGTGCAGACAGTGAATAGCTTTCTCCTTTTAATGTAGCAACATGGATATAAGCAAGATAAATTGACGCAAGCACCTCGATTCGCGCTCCTCGGGCCTCGTTTGTAATGTATCATCTCGTCATTCTTTTTAGTGTTTGCGTGATGGAGATGCACCGAATGTGTCAGTTTTTCTCATTAAATTGCCTAGCCAAACGTCTTCGCACAATCTATGTTGCATACGTGAGAATCCTGGGTTTCAAAAGTTTGTCAAACACTTCCATATCAATTTTTAGGCATGGTTTTACGGTCTGACATGTCAATCAACTTTGAGTTTATGTTGGCAATAAATTGACATGCACTGATTTTCAAGTCTAAATTTTAACATAAGATTGGCCCCCAAATTGTTGGATAAATTCATTTACAACTTTTGTGAACAAAACTAGCTTTCCACAACGGTTTGTTACATTCCTACCAAAGTGTTTTTGCATTGTGATTGTGCTATAGACACAAGAAATTGATGAATTTAAAGTACACGATTTTTAGAGGATCGCGTGTTATCTTCTCGTTCAGCCTTCAGTGCACACAGTAAATGTCCGTTTCTTTTTTCTCATTATGAAATTGTGAATTCTCACTTCGTGTTAGCGCAACTGCTGCCCACGCTGTTTCGAGTCGCTAGTAGATCGCATGAATGCGACTGCAAAGTTGAAATGGTAACGCCATTTGCTGTAACATTTCCTAGCAGATCATTTGCAGCTCACTATTCATCAATTTCGTTTACCCCGATTACAATCATTAGCTATGTCTCAGTTGTTGCTTTGTGTAGTTTTTTTCATGAAAAAATAATACAATTGATGTCATTAGCTAGGAGCACGTGTATGTAATTGGAAAAGCTTCGGTTAAGGTCCGCTAGGGTGGATCACCTCGCTTCAACGTGTGCTATTTCGCCCACTTTATTTCCCACGCGGCTTTTGAGCAGACCTGGATGACCATTTCGGGACATTCGTGGTCGTTACACATGCCTGCAATCTTGCCATTAGCCTAGTGGGAGTGCACAGAGGCAAAATGTGTGGGGAATCGTTGATTTAATTTAGGTTTCCCCTCTTTAAATGCACAGCATCGTCTCCTATGCATTTACTCCACGCCTTTTTTTCACCATATGCCTCTTCGTGGTGAATCTCAATTCACGTGTTGATTTTGCATCATCGGGGTAGAGCAAAAGGCAATTTACTTTGATGCTGTAAAATACCATCATGAATAGCACTTTATAATACCTTCATTTTTGTCATCAGAGAGTAGTTTATCTTGCTATTATCATACCGAAGCTAAGGTGAATTCTATGTGGAAGCATTTCATTGGATTCTATCAGTACCGTTAATTATCTTAAGCCTAGGTTGAATAAACGTCCTTTCAATGGTGGTAAAATCTCGAAGAAAAGTAGTAATGTAAACCAAGAAGATAGTGGCAAACATCGACCACCCTGTGGTCATAGTGTGATCGGTCAAATTCTCGAAGTGATGCACTTTCATCCTAAAGCTAAACACCTCTGAATTTTTGACCCTGTTCTCATAAGATTTCGTGTCTGGTTTACGAAGATACGGTTTTGTGTTTGTTGATCATGTGGAGGGGTACAAAATCATTAGTCGGAAGTGTGGTTTATGCATTTTTTATCGAAATGGACAAAACCATTGCAATGGAAAGCCTATTAATCTGTTTGAAACACTTCTTTGAGGATTCTTAGTTGAACTAACCTTCCGGGTCGTCATGCCGTTTCTGAATTTTCCTATTTCTTGTTCGTAAGTTCTAATCTCCCTACCAACGAAACTAAAAGAAGTGGATGCTGTCAGCCATTAAATTACAAAGTAGCAAATATTATTGGTATTTAAAAAGCGATCATTCTATTCTTAACCCCCATAGGAGAAATTCCTTCTTGTTTTCTGAAAATCCTCTTCTAGTGGTAAATTAGTGTTCAAGTTCTGAGCGTTGATGGCAATCAAAGACCGCAACTTTCAAGTCTTACTGCTTTTTCCATCACAATGTTTAGTTTTCCGTGGTTTATTGTGCTTTGGAGCAACAGTACTTTATGATGTTAATTTCGCTATTGTGACCTCAACTTGATCTATCTCATCAGTCAAGTTAATTTGCTTCAGCCACTTAAGAAGTAGTGGAAGTGCGCCTTTTTCATCCTCATTTTAGTAAATAATGCATACCAATGGGTTGGGAGTTGTGGAACATAAAGCATATTTCGTTAAATCCGCACTTTATTCCCATTATTATTTAGCGCGGAGAAGCTCTTCCTGTCTAAAGTAGTTGTATTTAGCAACTTTATGATATGCTCCCCATACCTTTCACTAGACCTCACGCCTTTGCATCATTAAACTAACCCACCATCAGCCGTCCGATATTACGTGTGCTTTACTGCGTCTAGACGATGCTGTGCTTTGCCCTAGAATATGAAATATCGAACATATACACACATCATTTCCGTATCTTCTAGATACACTCATTATATCCAAGTCCAAGTTATCGCTTTCTTGTCATTTAACCAATTTATATGCGGTTTGTAATCTTCGAAAAAAATTTGAAAATTAGGAGCTATAAGTTTCTACCTCGAATAATCTTTTAATTATTTTGTTTCTATCCATATCATCATTGTCTTCATGGTAAGAACGCACAAAATTTTGGTTTCGTACTTGGATTTGTCTCCTTAAGGAACTGCGAATAGGGCTCTATCTCACGCTCCAATTTATGTTTTGTTCCTACTCCATCATTTTCCATTTTCTCATTTTAATCTCTATGTTTGGGGTTGTCTTGGTTATAGTTGGTTTCAGAAGCCTTATTTATGTTGCTAGGGCCGTAGCACTACGTCGCTGTTAGGCCACCAGATGACCATTTGGCGCCGAACTTTTCTAGCCAATGCGACACTTATGGATGGAGCACAGACAAACCGAGGTCATGTATATGGCACAATCCGTTTTGTTTACTCTCATTGTGCGGTAAATAACTTCAATTTTTAAACGTGTGTTTACTTAATGATGTGTTCATCACATTACATTTGCGAATTGGTAATCGTTAGAAATCCCAATGTTCTCCATGCTAATCGTTTCTTGAGTGAGTCTGCCTTGGTGATTATGATCCTGGCTTGTCCAGTGCCGCTGCCTCTAATCTCGGCAATCTCATTAAGCTCAACTGTCTTCCCTCCCGAAACTGCACTTTCAGCAACCACACGAATGTCCATAGGAATTCTCAAATCCTTTGCTTTAACTTTCCCGTAGATATCCATGGATTCTGCGTCTTTGTTTGCAAGAAACGGCTTTTATCACCTCACACTTATTCCCTGTGTATGCGTATTAACATTATCGCCTGTCACCTCGATTAACGTTGCCCGGACTTCTCTGAGCCGCACACACACGGTATGTACGCTGGTGCGAGTAGTGATGGGTCAAGCATAGCATTTACCACTACATGCGATACCGGCTTGTATCTTCCTTATTTACATGTAAAACGGTAAATTTCGAACCAACTTGAAAGTCCCCCATGTTTAACATTTAAAAGCAGCGTTTAAGCGCAGAAGCTTCTGATACACGTTTTGAATCAGGCACTCAACCCGCATGTTTCATTTACTCGCGGCTTAGATCGTCGCTTACTTTGTTAGGTCATCAGGTAAATAGCTTAACATGTCTCTTGCCCACCTCAGAATTGCAGTTGACTGTGCTGTTAAACTGGGACTTGGACACCTACTACTTGAGGTGCTATTTCGTTTTCGGATTAATAGGGAACACCAGATCCTGTCTTCCCCTAAATCATGGTTTTGACATCCTACAAACTTCTGAAAAATGGAATTATGACTTTTGGGAATGGCTAAACCACCATGACATCTAGGCCTGGCTTAGACACGGCTACCCTAGGTAGAAAGAAAGCTTGGCCTCAAGCGATGCCTAGGTTACTCCAGGGGTCATTTTAAGCAAACAAGTATGTTTATTGCGACAGTACGGTGCCGAGCCTCTATTTCCACTTACTTCAACTTTGTACTTACAGCCTTTTAGTTTCTATTTCTTCATGCATTGCCGTTGTGCTCAAAACAAGGATGTTACAAAGCCCTTCTTTTTTGAAAATTTGATCCTAAACTGATCAACATAGCATCCTTTATTCTCGTCGACGCGATAAGTGGTCATTATACAGTCAAAAACTGCATAATGCGATGGATGGCTTTGTTGTGACCACCTTTTTGATTAAAGAAAAACGCATTCCCGAGTGACGTGGCTGTTAAGTATTATTTTTTTCTCTGAGAAAGCGCAAAGTATTAAAAAGGCCTATCAAAATGGGCTGGAACACTTTATGTCTGTTTTTTCTTTTATTATTACCAATAATACTGCTTCTTTAATTTTGGTCGTCTGTGACAAGTTCCGTGCTAACTCAATTCGACCTATACATTTGCCATTTGTTTCACTAAATCACAAAGCGTTGGACTACTAGGTCTTCTGCTTACAGCATCGATAATCTGTCGCAGTGTGTGACGATTTCATGCGTAACTTTATTACACACGTACGAGAGCGCTTGTAGACTAGCAGCCAAGGTAGTAAGTACATAGCAAAGTGGGAAATGTATAGCTCCAGGCCGCCAGCACAGAGACCGGTTTCTTAGGGACAGGCTGGAAAATCCCATGTAGTGCTAGACAGATGTCGTCTGAGTTCAATCCATTTGGTCTTATTTCCTTTTCCAGAACGGCTGGACGTCACTGCACTGGGCAGCGCAGCAGAATCGGGTTGACGTGACCTGCATCCTCCTCCGCAACGGCGCCAATCGAAGGGCTAAGGACTGCGTAAGCTGTTTTTGCTCACTACTACTACTGCCTCTTCTGTGTTAAGCATTTATCTTTTCCTATTTCCTCTTACACATACACACTTCGTAAAGGTTTTCCCTTTTCATACCACTTTCTTGCATTCCGTTCACAGAATAGCATGGGGCTTACACATTACTTCATAAAATGAAACATTTTATTCACGAGATTTTCAAAAGCAGTGATCGTCAAGTTTTTTCCCTCTTTAAGACCATCGCAAAGTGCTGAGAATGCTTCATTCCAATTTTGCTTGATGTCAAATATTCTTCAAATGGTATCAGTACTCGATGTATATCGGCTCACTTTAAAAGGAAATGTAAAAACCATCACCGCTCTGATAGGGAAACGACTCCTTTGATCCCATTCACCTATCAGCCTTGTTGTGAGGAATTATCTTTTGATATTTACATACCAGTTTGTCAAAGGCTTCTTAAAGACTTTGACTGACCAGCCTTAGACCCGCGACTCCTCCAGGAACGTCTGCGAATGTATTACGACCTATAGTGCGTGTTTTAAGGTGATTTCAAAATTATTTTAAATAGATAGTGTAACCATACAAAAAATATTCTCTATTTGAAGCACTTGAAAGGCAGATACCAAGAGTGATTATTATAGATGAAAAGATCAGCATGTGCCTTTTTTGTGGATTAGCTTGGCATTGTGTTGAATCAACTTTGAAATCTTGTATTTTATCCACCGTGATTGTTAAGGGTTTTGCAAATCCATGATGCTTGTCACTCAAGCTGTTGCCAGAAGTCCTAGTTGGCAAACATGGTTCTGTGGAGGCAACTTTGGCAATTAGCTCCCGTAGGAAACGGCGCTCATTTTGTGTCCATTCTAAGCTACCATTCCTCATTTCTAAATTCATTTTGCCTCCAGAATCGCCAGCTTTGAATATGGTATTGCTTTTTTGCAAAATTCAGTGGTATTACAAGAAATTGATTGAAACGATGTTAGAAGTTTGGTTGTTTGCCCCTTTTAATACCACTTTTCACCATAATCATCGCTGTCGATTATGTTATCCATTCCAGATTCCTGATGATCAAATCCATTAGCTTTCTGTGAGACTGTTCTAAGCAACTATTCTCTACCAACTGGTGGACGTTTTCATTTTGTAAATCAAGTAGAAAATTGTCTAATCGAAATACCCTAAGTTACTTAGACAATTTTTAAGCGATTTGATTTCTACCTTAAGAACTACGAGGGAATGGCCCCATTGTTAAAAAATGGTTTGGATTTTGAGAAACATTGTAACGTAAGAAAAGTGATGAGGCAAAAGATCCTGCAGTTGCATTTTGCCTTTAATTCCTTTGCAGTTGTGCACCTTCACCTTTTCCCAGGTTCATTATTTACAATAATAAATGTTTTACGTTAAATTATGAATTGTTCTGGTTGTAGAGGAGTGCAGGATTGGCAAGGAGTGGCGCGTCGTTAAGTACATTGTGAACGACCACTATTGGGTTGGTTATTCAGAATGGTAAAAATTCCATTTGTAGGCATGGGCGATAGAAATTCTCAAAAGCGTTTGCCCTTTGCAACCATCGTGAACTTTTGTTCTAGTTCGGTACGTGCTGTTGCTGGAAAATGGTACGTGTTGGGAAATTTCCACTTTTCTTGTCTTTTTCCTCTTCAAGACATAATTTCAAACGAACGCATAAATTGTTACCACCGTCTTGCCAAGCGTCATTTGCTTAAGAATTAAGATGGGAGGGGTTCGCGTGTTTGACTTTTCTGACAAGGTAATTTAATAATCAACCCTGCCAAGTTAACTGTCAGTCAGATTTCCGGTTTCAGTCGAACATGACAAATGACTACGTAGCAAGACATGTAGAAGCATTCATAAGTGTATTTTAAAACTTTTCTTTGATCTCTCTACATGCCCCATTTATTTTCGGGAGATTTAAGTGAAAATTGGTCATTGCTGTCAATCAAAATAATCCGTTTCCTCCAGATTCATTGAAACGTTTTTGCATCGCTTGCTTTTTATGTTTTGATTTATAAACTCAGGCACCACAGCGAGCAAACTGGGAAATAATTTACTCCTGTTCACTGCAAAATCATTGTCGTTTCGAAAGGGAATCCTAACTTGAGTGAGTTTACCATCCGTTTATTCACACCAAGTGAGTGGTACATGCGATGTAACACTTTTTAGGCTCATTTGCATTCTGTTTTGCCGGAAAAAAAACGATTTTGCTTATAATTTACCTCCTGAATCATTCATACGATTTGCTCTCCGAGTCTTTTCAAAAGCAACAATGCCGCTTATTCAACATCTGGATGTGCTTTTTATGATGGAGAATTTCTCTAAGACATCGTATAGCTACAGCGATTTGTAAAAAAATGTGTAATCTGCAACTTTTAAACCCAAAACTACCCCTTTGTTTTAGTTTACAAATCTGATGCTGAGCTTTTTGCAAGAGCAAAGGGCGATTATTACTAATGTATAAATTAGAATAAGTTGATCCATTGTTTGTGGACTGGCTCGGAGGTATTGCAAAGTTTCAAGATAGTCAAATCCTAAAAAGTAACTAAATAAGAGCAGATGCTTTGTATATCCACCCAATTTTGAGATCTGTGCTTAAAATGGGGATATTTCCAGTCATACATTCGCTTTTTCTTGGCGAAAAGAAACATCTCACCCACTAGCAATGTCCTGAACAATCACTTTTGGAGTACTTCTTCAAAAGATAGCATACACAGCGCTGAAATCCCTGTTTGAATAGACGAGAAACGCAAATCGCTTCCTTTTTCTGTCCTAAATGGCCCTTGCAGACTTTTGCTTCACTCTGCCGAACGATATTTTACTGCTAGTGGGTTAGCAATGTGGTTCAACTACAAAGCATTTCCTCCTATAATAGGTGTTTGTCATCAAAAGTACGGAATTTATGACAACCATTCCATTGGGACTTGTAGCTGTGTTGGGTAGTCCGGTTTGTGCGGTGCATTTTGGCTAGTGAATCCGGATGGGATGGAGGGGTTAATTCAGTTTCCGAAGCTCGTTGAGCAGCTGCAGTCAGAAAAAATTAGTCACCTAGAAATAGTAGTATATGAAGATCATTAGACATTTACAAGCCTTTCTTGTCTGGAAATGCTTCCTTTCATCTCTGCAGTAACGTTTCCTGCATGAGTGTGGCACTGATTCACCAGAACCGTTATCTAAACAAGCGTTTTTGCTAGTCAAAAAGGGACATTTTATGCATGCTAAGTTATATCACCCTCCAGTATGGCTATCTTCTACTTTGTAATTTTCTATAGCTGTTTATCTACCGTATTCTTGAAGGTGAGTTCCTACCCTTATTCCGGATTTAGCACCAACACTGATTCGCATCTAAATATGCCTTCTATGTTACAGGTTTTCCATTTTACCGTTCACGAATTTAAGTTTTCGTAAAAGAACTTGCGGAGATGTGTCATGGTTTCTCTTCGTTCTGCAATGCAAAATGGGCAATTTGTAATAAAAAGGGAAAAGTAGTTTTTAGTCATCTGTCTGGTAAAGTCATCTACATCCACATTCTTTACCAGACAACTTGCCTCCGTGGCAGTAATACCCACATCGATAAGTGCCAAACGTGCCCTTTTACCAGCAGCCAACCTGCATTTTTATGAGCCATTCCATTCCAGACGCTGTTGATCGATTTGGCAACCAACAGTGGGACTGTGGAAGTACATGGAACATTGCGTGGTGCGTAACGAAGGTTTTCGTAATCGGAGGTCTGAAATTAGCAAATACCTGCATGTACAGATTTCAACTGTAGTTCGCCACGGCATGGTGATGAGGCACTCATCCACCCAACGGTCGTGCATTGGTATGATGTAGACCTTTTGGGCAGTGATGATCATGACTATGGAGCCCTTTAGCTTACAATAGCCAGTAATGTATACGAGCATTCAGCATATGGAATCCCTGGTCCTGAATAATAAATGCGTAAACTATCATGTAACTGCACAAAAGACTAACCTTCCATAATACTTCGCAATTTCGGAAAGTTAGCTCACGCTTGAGTACTTGGGATGTCTGAGGACAGTTAGACATTACTGATGAAATTTCTCCTACCGAAGTTTTCCACTTATTGTTATACGGTAGGCTGTGTAGAAAAAATGGAGTTTACAGTTCTCGTTACTGGTTTCTTTCCTTTTAGAACCAAAAGGTTTTGCCTGCCTTGAATAAAAAATATTTCTTCATTATTGAATTTGACTTTCAGGAACCATAATGGGAGATAATTACGTAATGAGTGGTTTCCCGCTTTTTATTTATGCTTACGACAGCACGGTCATATGCCATACGAGGTGACAACACATCCGGAGATGTCAGAGGCTCTCCGACCCGACGCCTTCTATCCACAGATCGAGACCAACGGCCCAGTCTCGACGGATGAAGAAGACGCCTCTGCTTCCGAGTCCTCTTCAGACGAAGTTGACGGCGGTGGTCGAAAGACGGGCGCAATTCCGAGCTACCACTACCTTCGTCGTCTCAACTATAACAATCACCGACACCGTCACCCAAATCATCTCCGAAACCCTCTTCCACCTTCGGTCGAGACACCAGCCAGGGCTAGATTGGCTCGAGACGACGAGGATGGCTGTCTAGGTGCGGCAAAGGCTTAGGTCAATTGGTTACTCAATGCGCCACTCCACCGATCTACTACTGTCATCACTCCATACATTCTTATTTTACTACCTTTTCTCTCTTTCCTATGACGCATTATTTGTCAACGACGTACGTGTGATGGAGAGCATTTATCCATAATTGTTATTTTTGTTTTGTTGAGAAATGCAATCCTCTTCTCTAGGCTCACGCTCTCCCGCCCTCCCTCCCCCTCTCTCTACTCGCCTCACCCCTTATGTAACGTTGCCTGTCTCTCTTTCACCCTGCCTGTGCTCTTGCCCGTGTGTCAGCCATCGCGAAAAACAGGAACACCGAAAACTGATTAAATGAGTGCTTAGATAATGTCTGAGATTTTTTTCATCTGGCCGGACTAGTGAGTGGATGCTTTATAGGCGGCAATGGTTTAAACAAATATTGGAGGATAAAAAACTGAAAGTCGCATTTTACCTAGTTTTTTTCCCACTATGCAATTGTGGCCCGCAATAACGCATCCCATTTACTTCACCAGTACTTGAGTTATCCATTTAAATTAAACCCTTAGGTACACTTATTAGTAGAAATGTAGTTATAAGTGGTCCTGGTAATCAAATTGAATTGTGAAACTGTCCCTTATTACATGGAAATAGCAACTGTGGCTGGTGGAATTCAAAATTAAGTAAAATTGTAGAACTCTAATTGCTCAACTCTCGGCTTTGGTGACAGGCAATTCAGGGGCTCCACCACTGTACCTCCGCCGGGTGGCTTGGCCTTCGAGTCATAACCAGTAGCCCTAATTCCTGCTACATGTCGACATTACATATATTGTCCGAGTATTTTTGTCTTCTTCTGACAAAGGCTCAAAACGGTTTGTAAAAAGTTGTTTAAAATTTAGGCTGGTGACTGAAGTTATTGATAGCTAAACAAATTATGCACGCTGGAAGTTATAGGGTAATAAGTTTTGACAAATTGGGGCTAATAACCTTCCGTTTGAACCATTGGCTGTATTGTGGCTCCGTATGAAATATATAATTGAGTAACTAAACTGTTAAAACGCAAAATAATTAGAATTTGCTTCTACATTGGAAAAGCTGACCGAAGTAATTATTATGCAATAATTCGAGGCTTCCCTAAAAACAAAGGAACACATTACTCAGGCAGGATAAGTGTTGCCGATGTACAGAAGGACTTGGTGTCCGCCGCCATAGTTTGGAGACCAGGCGGTCCGGCGAAGATACAGTGGTGGAGCCCTAGTTTACCCGTTACTAAAACCAGGGCTTAAACAAACAAAGTATAACGTAGTCCCTCCACTCTTTTGGACGTCTTCTCCAGTGCTCCCTATGTCCAACTTTTAACGTCGGTCGCCACAAAGCGGTCACTGTGTAAGGAAAGACACCGGTGAACCATCTGCGCCAGTAGTCGGATCTGTGTGTATCTGAAGTAACTGACTGAAGCTTCGCAAATCTCTCCTGGTGTTTTGCCCTGTTTAAGAAACAAATTGGGGGAAGGGAAAATGCAAAGGATACGACTTATTTCCATCGCTATTCGTGGGAACACTTGCTTAAATGCCGAGTCATCTAACAAAGAATGAGGTTTGAAAGAGTTCCATGGGGCGTTGGTTCGCGCCTCCTCGTCACTTTGCTCTCACTTCAGTGTTGCCTAGCTATAATTCTATCCATGCTTCACCAAACTAGTAAAGGGGTGAAGGAGTTATCGCATGCTCGCACAATTGGTACCTTCACACAAATACAGGCGACAGCTTCGTAACGAACTTTTCCAGTTGATTCACGGCTAGTATCACCTCACTTGCTAATGGCATTCCTGCAAAACATGGGATTTGTGCAATTAACTAAGATAGATGTCATTTTCAGGTCTTCTGTTAAAAGTCGTTACAGATTCCCTCAACTACAGCACATGCTCTTCTTCCATCCCATAAAGATTTATCACGCAGTGGCAGATCTGAGGGTGACTGTCCTAATTAATCAGATTCGTTTTCCTCTGCCATCGATTCAGCGCCCCGTGACTTCCCTGAAGACGAAAGAAGCCATAATACTCGGGAAGAATATGTATTTTTGACCTACAGAAGGGTTTGGAACTACTCCCATGATCCATCGGCCATACCACCTGATGGCCCGTTCTTAAAATCGCCAGTTAAACGAACAGCAAGAGTAGTAAAAGTGTTTGAGAGGGTAGGTTTTAACAGATGTGTTGATGGTAAATAAAAAATAATGAACCTAAAATTCTGATAATTAAACTTAATGACAAATCTGTGTTTTATTATGGAAAGCAAATATTTCATCTGTTCTCCTGCATGGTTGGGGTGTGAAGAGCCTGAAGATGGGAGCATGTGGCTTAAACAAGTACTATTGTGTTACCAAGCAGCAAAATTACATTCCCAGAGCTCGGCTGCAAAAGATGCATTCACAATGAGAGGTGCACAATTGGGTTTAGAGATGATTTTATTTTACAACTCATTGCACAATTAAGCTAGTTGTCATGACAAATTATTGCAGCCTGTTGAAACATTCCTTCCGAAATGCGTGCACGGCTCTCTACGTCAAACAATGTGCCAGGATAGTGGGCTCTTTGCCTGCGTCCCTATCGCTAAGACAGTATATATTGCCAATGAGGGGCCTGTTCAGGTAATATTCTGGTGAATATCCATGGGCAAAGTTGACTCTTGAGAAAGATTCCAAATTCGAAAACGATTTCACCCACTTATAAGTAGTGCCTGTAATCATTTTCTAGTCTGGTGAGCTCATTTTACAAAGGGCTATATCTGATAGATGAGCAGTTTTTAAATATATTTAAAGATTTTATTCATAAACTGTATCCCGTTTTTATCGCCTCGGGTATTCCGGAAAAGTTCAGGCTACTGGCATCACCCTCAGGCCAGGCCGTCTAGCAAATGTACGATCTGTGGAGAGTTAAGCTCCCACGTAATCAAAGGCAGAGACAAACAAACTATCAAAAGAATTACATGGGGCCCTTCCTGTGACGATCCTCCCATTTCAGCCATCACAACATGGTGCTTAAAAAAACGCTCACGAACCAGCCGCGACAGTTATAGAATTTGCGTTCAACTGAGGACATATTCCATTTCAACGTCACTCATCCATCTCAGCAATGCCGCTGGAATTGGAGTTTTGTCAAATTCAGAAATTGTACCAGAAGAGGAGAAAGGCATTATCCTCACACTGTAGTAGACTGGTTGATGTTCTACGACAAGTTTATCTTATATTCTCATTGCCAGCCGTACGAATGCTAGTCTAAAAGCAGTCATTTAATAGTGGATGGGGTTTAAAGTAGTCTAACGGGCTAATATTTCGCATCTTTCCTCCTTACAACGTCGTTTTTGCTTCAATACTGCTCAATTATATCCATCCGGTTCTGTTCAGCTGGTGGAGAGTTGGAGGAAGTATGGCGTGTTCACTTAATTGACATCATATTGTAAACATTGTTAACGGCTCCGTAAAGAACAATTCCAGGTGGTTTACGGCAAGCGGCTCTTCAGTTGTTATTAGCATTTCTACATTCTTTAATTGCTAAAGGTCGACTTCACTTCCAACCCTTCTGTTGGGAGCCTTCACAAATGCTCTTGTGACAAATTCCCATCTTTCGTCACATCAAGGTTCAGCTTTCAGCCATACAAACAACGGTGGCTATATTTTAAAACCAGGTTCGCTGGCCAGCGCCACCGGTGTAACTCCCCTAGGCTTTCAGAAGAGCTGAGGCTACAGACGTGACCCGAATATCATGCCGCCAAGCGGGAAAACAGTCTGCGGTGACTTAAGCGTCCACGTAATCAAGCTCATAGTTGAATAACCCGCTGAAGCACATTATTGCTGTATTTCGATTTATTTTAAAGCAGTTTTTACTCACTCTAGCAAATTTGTGTTGGAATTAGAAAAAAGCTAAAATGCCTATAACAATTTTCCCAGACCATTAATAGGTTTTAATTGAATGCACCTCTCACTAAAAAACCTCCAGTTATATGAATACATAAAGCAGATTATATACGCTATCAGTACAGCAAAGATGATTTCATGCACAAAAATACACTACTTAAGTTATTGAAAAAGGCTGGAATCTGTCCATGATGTGTCTACTTATTGAACCTAAGGCCTCTCTTCAGTAAACTACAATCTCTATTAGTTTCTACAATAGTAAACTAAAGTGATCTAGAAAATAAACACAGTCACACACATGTAACCCATTTAAGGTACATGTGTTGCTAGGAGTTACATGGGAAACTTTATGATCGCCGGTGAATTGAATGGATTTACTAATTTTTACCCTCGAAGTTTGTTGCGCATAAAAAATGTGGATTATGTAGATTGATGTGCACTGGCGAAGAATGAAACAGATCAAACTAAATTACATCTGAATGGCATGCAACAAAAATGTAGTAGTACACATTCAAATAGGCAGTGTAAGTGATTCCGTGATGCAGAACAAAGATGGTGATTAAATGGTATGTGAATCAAACAACGAAGAGGACATTATAAAGTATCTCTTGAAAGTGTTTAGTTTTTCTATGTGCTTAAATTTTTGGAATCGTAAAAGGAGATGTTTTTGAGCCCCAAGTCTTTTCTAAAGACAAAAATGAGTCGTATTTCTAGGACAGAATATGCATTGTTGACGTACAGAAGGGCTTGTGGGCTATTGGCTTTTCCCATAGGCCACTCCATCAGGCACAGGTACAATGGCGAGGCCCTAAGTGGTCTGTTATGGAAACTGAGAGTTAAACGAACCATCCAAGGACTACATAATCCCTCTCCTCTTTTGAGCGTCTTCCCTAGGGACTTCTCTTGCTCAACTTCCTACGTCAGCCATCACAAATATAGTCAATGATGTAAGGAAAACATCCAAGAATCAACCGCACCAGTCATCGAATTTCCATGCGACTGGGAAGATGCTTGACCGCAACATCATCGATTCCTCCAGGCAGCTCATCTGGATCAAGACCTTCGTTCTGTGTGGAAACTGTATTGGAAACTCAGGCTTGTGTTGTCTATTACGT